GAGTCGTTTAGAATAGGCACTTAGTTTCGGGTCCTCGGCCTCCTGACTGGGGGTTTGCCGCGCGGATTCCTGGCCGGGATCGCCGAAGTGTTCTGGCGCCTCCCGCGAACTTGTCTCGCTGGGGATCTGGTGCGTTCTCGCACCATTTCTGTTCGGGGCCTCTCTAGCCGAGGTCGGCGATTTCTGGGTCGAGGTGAGGGACTTCTCGAGCCTCCATTCTGGTCTTCCCGCGGAGGGGACCTCGGAGGGCCTTCCCGCTCCAATGCTCCAATTCGTGCGTTCTGCTGAAACAGCAGCTGGTTCGTCTGGTTGATGGCCGCAAAGAGGGCGGCCACCGTTGGGTCCGCTCCCGCTGGGATAGGAACGGGTTGGAACACCGCTGGGCTCGGGGGCCGGTGGTCGGCCTGGCGCAGCAGGTCTGCGGACGACGGTGAGGCAGTCTGGCCGTCTCTCTTGTCGGTCTCTGCCGGACGTGACGTTTCCATTTGCTTGCTTCCGTTGGCGGTGACGTTGAGCGCAAAGTCGTGCATGGTATCGTAGTGGTGTGGGCTAGCCATGACCGTGGAATGCTGGTGAAACTTTGGTTTTCTGCTCGGAGTAACGGGGAAGTTTCTGTTCCCACAGACGGCGCCACTGATCTGACCTGATCAGAAGGGGATCACGGGCTGGCCACACACTGTTGGACTGCTACCTGTTTGCCGGTGATGAGGAGGAGGAAGGGGGTGTACCTGCAAGACACTCCGATGCCAAAATAAGGGATTGGGTAGAGTGAAGGCGAAGTACAGAAAAAGGGGTAAGAAGTGAATACCTGACCCTCTTGAGGAAGAGGGTATTTATAGAGAGACCCCAGCGCTGGGCCAACGGTCACTTGTGTTGGGCTGGATGGCCAGGCCCAACTCAGGTGACTGCTAGGGCTTACGTGGCGTAGTGAAGACCAGGACGTGGTCTTCGCCCTAGTCCAACTGTCCCGTGGTCTCCGGAAAGTGGGTTTGACCTGCTCTTTCAGAGGTGGGCAATTGGTTGGTGACGTGTCTCCGGGGGGGGGGGGGGGGAGCACGTGGAGACCGCGCACAAGGCACGTTATTCTCCCCGCGGAAGGGAGGCCATGGGACTCCCTGAGAGCACGAGGTTCTCCCCGCGGAGGGGAGCTCGTGGGATTCCAGGGCGGTGTGTGGCTCTCCCCGGGGGGGAAGGCACACGAGAGCAGAGAAGACGAATCGCCATGCCCGTTGGCAAGGGGATTCTGCCCGGGGAAGTTGTTCGGTCCGGCTAAGGGGAGCGCCGAGGACGCTTCGAGGCGCGCCGTCCCGCTTGGCAGGGAGCGTATCCTGCCCGTCCGGTGGGGGGGGGGGGGTGTGCGCCCGGTCAAGCTATTCCACTTATTGGGCCTTGTGCGTTATTGGGCTGGACCGCGAGGCTGGGCACAGACCAGGACACTTTCCCACTTTCATTTTAATTTTTTTATCATTTTTTTTATTACCACTAAAAATACTAATAATTTATTTATTTTTATTTTAATAAAATTAAAAAATTATTTATCTCACGAGTCATTATCAACACAATATTTATTTTATTTTAATTAATTATTATCTTATTTTTAAATATTATTTTTTTCTATCTCCATCTTATGATTTTTTTTCTTTTTTTTATATGATTATTTAATACAATTTAATTTATATGATTATTGTTCATTTTACAATTAACTATATCATTTTAAATTTTGCATTTGTATTTAAATATATTTTATATCGCACAAAATATTTTTTTTATCTTACGAGTAATTACTGCATCAACTTATTTTTTGTCTTTCTTTACTTCACGAGTTTTTTTTTCTTTTTGCATAATTATTTAATATAATTGAGATTGTATAATTATTTTTCAATTTACAATCAAATAATTTATTTCAAATTTCCATTTGTATATAAATATATTTTATATTGTATCAAATAAACTTTTTGTGAAAGTCACTATAAACACAATACGTATTTTATTTTAATCAATAATTATCTTAATTTAAAAGATAATATCCTTATTATCAAATATTAAATATTTTTTTTATTTCAAGATTTTTTTTTCTATTTGTATTTTAATACACTTGAATTTATATAATTATTATTTATTTTATAATTAATAGTTAATTTCAAATTTAAACACATATAAATACATTATATAACGTTCCAAATGTACATTTAAATATATTTTATACCGTATCAAATAATTATTGACATTTTGTAGTAAAAGACATTTGTTATGTAAAATATTATTATTTTTATTAAATTTTGTTAAACAAAATTTATATTAAATTATTAAATAATGTTTAATAATTAACATATATTTTAAGAGATTAATTAAAATATACCGTCAGTAAAAAATTACTCTACACTCATTCAATTAAAATTAATTATTTTGACACATAATTATGAAATTAAAAATAAAAAATAAAAAATTATAAGTAAACCACTTTAATAACTACTGTTTTTAGATTTCTCTCATCTCATGCGTTAAAATAATTTATTTTAATTGAATGACGGTGTAAAATAATTTTACATCGACAATGTATTTTAATTAATTTTATATTTTAATTATTTCAAATATTTAACTTTAATGATTGTTACATACTTATTAATTATTTATTAATAAAGTAAATAATTGATCTGACCTGATCAGGAGGGGGTCACGGACTGGCCACACTCCGTTGGGCTGCTACCTGTTCACCGGGGTGAGAAAGAGGAGGGGGTGTACCTGCAAGACACTCCGACGCCCAAGTAAGAAGTTGGACAGAGAGGAAGCAATAGTACAGAAAAAGGGGCAAGAAGAGTTACCTGACCCTCTTGAAGAAGAGGGTATTTATAGAGAGACCCCAGCGCTGGGCCAACGGTCATTCGAGGTGGGCTGGATGACCAGGCCCAACCCTAATGACTGCTAGGGTTTACGTGGCGTAGTGAAGACCAGGACGTGGTCTTCGCCCTAGTTCAACTGCCCCTAGATCCCCGGAAAGTGGGTTTGACCTGCTCTTTCGGAGGTGGGCAGCTGGTCGGTGACGTGTCCCCGCGGAGGGGAGCACGTGGAGAACGTGCGCCGAGCACGTTATTCTCCCCGCGGAGGGGAGCCCGGGTGGTTCTGCTCGTCCAGCGTGGTGGACGACAAAAAGGGTGTGGAGACGTAGCTTGTGCTCGGCGGCCTGCCCCTGCTCGTCTCGAAGGGGGCGCGTGTCTGGCGTGCCCGGTTCGCTTGTTGGGCCGCATGCGGTATTGGGCCTGTCGAGGTGAGGCCCATACCGGAACAATAATAAAATAGTTAATAAATATAACAAACGAGGGAGGGGTATCAAAATATTTGACAGTCGCATATAGTAAAAGGGGAAAATGAATTATTGAGAAGAAAAAAAAGAAATGTAATAAGACTATCTAATACTATTACAATTATATTATATTAATTTTAACTCTTGTTTTGAACCGTGTAAGATTAATTTTTATTATAATAGATGTGTATAATATATGAAATATTAAATTTTTGATTCTCCAATATAATTAATAGAGAAAATATGAATTATACTAACATATTATTAAAAATGAAAAGATATGCAGTCTTGCCTTACCAAACTGTTGCTCGTGGTAAAAATGAGAGTGAATAATTGCTTCTCCTTTTTCATTCTATCTTCGTCCAAATCACTGAACCTGTTTTCAATCGTTGAATCGTTGAGAAGAAGATTACTTAAAAAGTGAGTTGAAAAAGGATTTTTTCTATTCTACTTTTTCTACATCTTAACTCATCATCATTATCATGCCGCAAATCTTTTTGTACTATTACTGTAAGTATATTACCTAATCTTCATCATTATTTCTCTTTTAACTTTTTATCTTTATTACAAATTTGGATTTGTATACTTTGTTAATTTGTACTCAGAAATTGGATTTGTGTTTTTCCTGAAAATTTAATGTTCCCATTGATCCTAAAGATCAGTGTTTTTCTTCGGAGTTTCTAGGTGCAGAACTGAATTAGGGTTGTTTCATTGACAAACTCTGTTTTTTAGTTTCTCTGGAAAAATCAATGTCTGAAGGAAATCCTATAAAAGATGCATCATTGACTCTGATTGTTAGAAAGAAAGCTTCTTACAGTATATTATGTTGCACACACTTTGAATTGAAAATGTATCCGGTGTCCGACATGTGCCGTATGGCATCCGACACCGACACATATGTTTACATATGTCTTATTGCTATGTTTGAACAGATGGAATGAACTTACGTTCCATTCTTTGGATTAATTAAAAAATGATGGAATGGAGCAAAATGTAATGCATTCCAATCCATTACATCACTTTCCATTATTTTTTTATACTCTCTGATTTGGGCGGAATGAAAAATTGTTCTATTCCATCATGAAATACCTAAACAGTGGAATGATATCTTTATTCAATTCCGCTCTATTCCGCTTCATTCCATTCCACTCCTTTTGTTCTATAATATTCAAACACAGCCTAAATGTCAATGCCATATGTCTTTATAGGTGTTTCATATTATAAACTATAGCAAAAAGATGAAATTCCTTTTTTCGTTGAGTAGTTATAGCTGACAAAGTAACTCATAGTTTTGATATGGAATCTGTAAAAGCATCATCAGGTGTTTGAATTCTGATTCCAACATGTTATAACAAGATGCTGAAGTTGTTTGGATTCTGATTCTAACATGGTATAACTAACAAGATACTGAATTCTTACCAGGAAAGTTGTCATTGGAAGTTTGAAAACTGATTTTTTGCTAAAAAAAACAGGACTAGTTGGTATGTTTACAAGGTGGAAATGTTTTGTTGCTACGTTTTCAAGGATCCGGTTGATTAAGTGTGTATTTGTTCTTGTGGTGGCATCAACGTAGCTGTGAGGTTAGACAGGGGATTGTCAACAACATTGGGACGCAAGATTTACAAACTGGACGTTCAACCAAACAAGCATTAAGTGAACTTGAAAGATTTATTTAGAGTGGTAAAAGTAAATCAGAAAAATGGGATCTTTCATAGGTCATATTTTGCCGGGAACCTTGTTTCTTCTAGTTGGATTATGGCATATATGGTGTGCTGTGGTGAGATATGTATCAAGTCCTAAGACATTCCGAGTTCATGTCTGGAATCCTGTACCAGGATTTGACGGGAAGCTCAAGCACTTGGAACTCTATGTTATATCAATTGGCGCTTTCATTGACTTGTGCGTTGAGCTTTTAGTTGCAACACAACTCAGGTTTTTTGTCGGTGGAGTCTTGAATTCCACTTACTTGAATAACTTTGAGCACTCAGGAATGCTTATCATGTTTCTTATCTTTGGTGTCGTTTCCCTGCTCTCAGAAAAGACAAGGTTAGGTGTTTCCGTTGTTATGTTCTTGGACTTTTTCTTGCCACAACTTTACTTAATTCTGTTTTTGTTAAAGATATAGCTTGTACATAAGAACTTATGCTATAAGCGCTTAATTGTGCTGTTTTTCCTAACAGGGCTTAATTTGATCTTATTATGTAGATATGTTCCCTTGCCAGAAGGTGCACTTTGTTTAATTGCTGCAACGGCATTCACTGCAGAGTATCTTCTGTTTTACTTTCACTCAACAACACACAAAGGTCTAGAAGGCTATTATCATGTCCTCCTCGCCTTCATAAATGGTCTTTGTGTATTATCTTCAGTTGCCGGAGCACTTTTTCCAACCAGTTTCCCGGTCGATTTATGCAAGGGAATTGCCATAACGCTGCAAGGAATCTGGTTCTATCAGACAGCCTTCGTTCTCTTTGGCCCCATGCTACCGGCAGGTTGTAGCATGAAGGATAACATTGTCGCATGTCATTCGCATGAGAGCGAGATTCGTGGTGAGTTGTTTGCCAATGCTCAGCTCTTTTTCGCAGTCCTTGCTGTTCATGTAGGAACTATATTATCCTTTGGTTTTGCAGCTTCTAGATATGGAAATTTAGAAGAGCTTGCTCTTAATTCAGGGTTTGATTAGAAGAAGACTCATGTAGATTATGATATTATGGTTTCAATTTTGTTTGGTAAATGTAATGTTTGGAATAAACAAGTGCTGTTTTGGTGTAATGAAAAGATTTTTAGAAGGTCAAGTGTAAAGTTAATTTGTGAATTATTCATTTATTTGGCATACAATTACAATGTAAGTTTAAATAATATAGGGATATCCATAATCAACATTCCTTGGTGTACTTGTACTTAAGTTTGAACTCGAGATTTCATACTTCTCGAGTCTGACCACTAGACTAGACTACTTGATCATAAAAAAAAGTAGTTTATATTTGTGAAAACTACTAAATTGTCTCCAACAAGAGTGTCATAATCTCCACAAAGATTAGATGGAGGATCGCATTGGGGTTTTGTCACAACCTCCATCATTTCAAATTTTAGGTAATTGGCTAGATTGCTATATATTTGTTTCCAACTATGTGGGTATGGGTTAAAGAGGAGAAAGAAATGGAAGTGTGATGCTGGAGAAGTTGCTTTCAAGTGATTTAATCAAATGATTTCTTCTGACAGTGACATAAAAGAGAAAAGATAACAAAAATATGGATGGGTAGAAAGAGATGATAAAGAAGGCATCACAATCAAATAGCTTTAAAAAAACATGAATTTTACTATCTAATTTAACAAAAAAAACTCATACATACATATATATATTTTTTATTAATATTATTCTCTTTCATAATTTAAAAAACGTTTTACAAGAACGCATATTCATTTTTCTTTAAAATTGAGTTAAATATTTTCATATGAAATCCTGCTAAGAGTTAAAAGATAATTTTTCATTAGTAAAAGTATATTTAAATTGTAATATATTCGAGAATGTTATACTATTTTAAAAATAGATTATAGTATCTAATAAAATTGTCTTTAAAATGAATGGTTAAAATTTAACTTGTCAATGATATAGTACATTTAGAACATTTTCAATAATTACTTTTAGAAGATTCTATTTATGTTACGTCTAAGTTCATACATATTTTATTTAAATTATATTAATAACGATATGATGCTTTATTATACAGCAAATATTTTTGATAATATTTTATTTTGTTTAATATAATTTGCCTAAAGAAAAATAATACTAAAACCAAACTTCGTAACAAAAAAATGTCAGTATCATTAAATCAAATTGAACACATAGATACTTTTGTTCTAGAATTGTGAATGTGGAAGAAGAAATATGCAGGAAAAACAAAAATAGCATATATTTTCTCACGTGATATCTGTAACATTTTGAATAAAAGAAGAAAACTGATACGCCAACACCTCTGACTTGATATTCTTCTCTATTTGCTAACTACCCTTTAGTCTTTCTTGTCACTGATGTGATACGTTCTCTCCATCATGAACCGAAGGCTAGGAGAGTCTGTCGGGAAATAACTTCAGTATTAGTAGTAGGACCTCCTATTCCATGCTAACAAAATGAGAAACTAAGAGTTTCATCAAAAAGTAACCACAAAGCCAATAGTTGTGGGTGAAAAGAATCAATCTTTTCCTGCAAAATAAGAGATGCAACAATCAAGCTACTTTCCTTAACATCAGCAGCAGGTAATGAAGTTAATATAGAGGGAGAATAGTGCAAGTATCAATTGGAACTGAATGCAGCATCGGTTCAAAAAAATCAACAATCTTTGGTTTTTAATGTCAAAACTTCAGAGGCAGAAATCAGATTTGGATCTAACACAATCGCATTTTCATGCATTCGTTGCAGTAGTGGATTGCAGGCCGTCCGATAAAAAAATTGGATGGCTCACATTTTACCTGTGTGATTTGACAAATAATACACAGTTGCAAGTGGCGTCTGATTTTAATCAAACAACCTGCGATTTCAGAAAATGCAATACACGACTGCAAAGATTTATAATCCATGAAAAACCTATCTCTATGGGAGCTTTGTAACACCAGATTGCATTTCTTAGTTTAGGAGGAAAAATAGAGAAAAGAGATTTAAATAATCCAAATTAATAGAAAATAATGTGTTGGATAACTTGGTAGATGAATGAGCTAAATGCTAAAGCGGAGAAGAAATGTACTGTGCAATAAAGATAAGTAGAAAAACATGCACGCAACTAACTCAGCAGGATAGATAAATGGTGCAAAAAAGGAAAGCAAACAATTTCTACAAGACAAATACTAGGTATTTAAGTAGAGATGAATTTGATATTCGAAAACAAAATAATACCTTTATGAGGGAAAAACTGGTCATGAAATGCTTGTATATTTTTACAGGCAGATGTAGTAAGCAAAGGCAAGCTGTTCTTCACATCAAAGAAATCAGTTCCATTGATTGATAAATATTTTTGGCGAAAGCAAGAGAACTTTTCACCAGCTTCCCTTTGAAAATCAGACACAAGAGGTAAATTTCTAATCCAAATGTCCTCGGCGGTTTGTGTACCAGAACGTGCTAACTTCAATGCAGAGCTTTTTGTTGCCAAAAAAGCTGGATTAAAATAAGTCACAAGTAACATGCAAGAGTTTAAGACTAGGAATCTTTGATTTGAATCACAGTCACACATAATTGCATCAATTTGAGCACGGCCATCAGTACTTTACAATATTTGGTACAAAATTGGATACAATCGATACAAATCTCTATCGTTTATCCATTTTAGACACGACTCTCATACTGAATTTTGATTCATTATATTGAATCCTGATTCACTATGATGAATTCTGATTCATTCCAATCCAATGAATGACAACAAAATGAATCACTAAGTACAAAAACTTAGTGTAGTGAGCCACTATTTTTGTCAGATATGTATAGCCAGCCACTTTTCTTATGCCTTGAATCAAATTATTTTCAGGTTCTAATATGCAATGTAGTCAAGCACGAGATCTTAAGTAGGATCGGTCGGCTTGTGAAAGATTGTAAAACTCAGATTGTTAGCATGGCACATAAGATCCAACCGAAGGAAAAAAGGATAATTTCATACACACATACACAAAAGCATGAAAATCATTACACGCCAAAAAGAAGAAAAAAAACAGCGTGTTTTTTATGATCTTGCTTCAAAAAAATTCGATCTTGACCATGCTGGCAACAAAAACTATCTTTCTCTCTTTGATCATTGCACTCTCAGGCATCCTTAGCACATAAGATCTTGCAATCTTATGATCTAGTACTCAATCTTGACTACATTGCTAATATGACATATAAATAGTTCTTCGAATTCACAATATGAATCTCAATTTGATAACCATGAGTTTGACACATACAACTCCTGAATCCTAATAAACCCTAAATGCATGCAAATTAGTTTAGTGCATTAAATCGAGAAAGCAATGAATATTTTGTCATAACAACTAACCAAAGAGGTTTACCATTATATGGAGCTGCAAAGATAACATTAGCTGGAAGACCAATTCCAAAGCCAGCAAGAGTGACACCAACATTGAATCCAACACCACAACCAGCTCCAACGTAGCCAATAACTTCAGGACCAAATCCAGGACCCCATCCAACACCACAACCTACTCCAAAACCCATCCCATAAAAGGTTCCATAAGTTGGATGAACAGGGTTCCATTTTTTATATCTTCTAAACAATCCTTTTATAATCATTACAACCTGAACAAGTGAAAACATTGCAGTTATAAGTAATCGACAAACTAGCACACCACCTGTTTGTTGAAATGACAATGTTAAATTTTCAGTTAAAGTGCTAAACAAGTGAAAATTTTACTAAAATCACGTTCTGAAAATCAATTTTGATAATCTACAATTTGAAATACATACACAACTAAATATAGAATGGAAAGAGAATTATGGTGACTTACGATGTAGAAAATTAAGTGGAAATTATTGAGTTTGGAAGAAGCAAATAGAAAGGATTGGAGATTTTGAGCCGAAGCTACAATGACAACGAACCGCAAACGCCAAATGAAATCATAGAAATATAATTATCCATTCGGTCGCTATTGTAAATATATATATATATATATATATATATATATATATATATATATATATATATATATATATATATATATATATATATATATATATATATATATATATATATATATATATATATATATATATATATATATATATATATATATATATATATATATATATATATATATATATATATATATATATATATATAAAATTTTTCTCTCTCAATTTTAATTCGATTATCTTAATTAAAAAATTATACAGTATTATTTAATAGGTAAAGTTAATACAACGATTAATTTTTTTTTAAAGATGCAACGATTAATTTTATTAAATATTATAAAATCAATCAACTAATTAAATTTTTGTTATGGGAAACTAATTTATTACCAGGTATCCTTATTGGCATCTATCCTACAAAGATTATAGTTTGGAAATTGATTATTAAAAAGTTTAAAATTAAGTAGGCTTTATGGTAAGGTAGAATGATATCAATGGCGGGAAAAATTATTTTTATTAATTTGGTGTTGTCGAGTCTTCCTATTTTTTGGTTCTCGTTTTATAAAGCTCCAAAGTTAGTTTTGAAAGTAATAGACAAAATCAAAAGCAAGTTTCTTTGGAGTGGTTCAGAAGCGAAAGTGAAAATCTATTGGATTAAGTGGGATTGGGTGTGTACCCCGAAGGATAAGGGAGACCTTGGCATCAAAAGTGTGGAGGAATTCAACTTAGCACTGTTATCTAAATGGAAATGGAGGATCTTCGACGATTCAAACGCCTTATGGAAGAATACTCTTATAGCAAGATACAGATCTATTCAGCAACAAGTTTTGACAGATATGATTCAACCTAGGATTTCTTCCTCTTTTTGGTGGAAAGATCTCATCAAGAGCGGAGGCGTTACTTCTAATCTTGGTTTTTGTTTTGCAGATTTTGTTCACCACGAGTTAGGCGAGGGAAGTTCAATCTCGTTTTGGATGGTGAGATGGATTAGTACACCTTCTTTGCCTGTGAAATACAATGATTTTTCCTCTGCAGCAACAGTAAGGAATACTCAGTTAAATCTATGGGATCATGGATCCATGGGAATTGGAAATGAGGCGATTTTGTTATTCCATTACAGTGCCAGCAGGTAAGTACAACTCATCACTTAATCACTATCCATTACAATTCTATCTAGAAATCACCATCTAGATAAGAGAACCCCATCTCAATTCCTAAATCACCTCCGTGATATCTAACAGTTACAATTTCCAGTAACTGCATCAGACTGTTCAATTGAAAGACATTCCTTCCAATACAATATTCAATCAAGACTATTTACTAACAAACATGCATGGATTTGCTTAAAATCTTCACCCAAGAACAATACACAATTCATTACCTACAAGTTTCTGAATCTTTAAAACCATGTCTACCACAATGTATCAATTGATACAAAGGGTGACTTACAACACAAGAAAGTACACGACTCTCAAAATCCTAAATCCTTATTTTCTACTTTATAAAAGTCTTAATAAGAATTCTTATTCTACCCTACATCTTGGTTTTCCTTTTATAGCCTTCATTTGTCCATGGGCTTCTAAGTCTCTATTTAATCTTCTCTTGACCCATGTTCTGATTGCTCCTTAAATCTTGGACTAGATCTGCAACAAATCTGTTGCACCAGATCAGAATGTCGAGTCTATAATGCTAGGACATCTTGACTGATATGTCTTCCTTCAGCAGATTTCTTCTTGCTGGAACATTTTGTGCAACATCATGTTTGACCAAAATTTTAGTCAAATCTTTAGAGCCTTTAATCTCCCCCTTTTGACAAATTTTGGCTAAAATACCCTTTTCACAATAAACCTAGGATGATACGGAGGGAGGGAGTAGAGAGTCCTGAAGTCATTTCAGCCGGATGACTTGTCTACCTTATGTTGAAAGCTTTCATTCTTCCTGTACACGAGGAAGAAGATACACCTAGCTCACCCTCAAACCCATAACCAATATGTTTCCCTGGAGCAACCAAACACCAACCTAAATTATCCCTATGAGGATTCAAGGGAGCAGACTGCTACTCCAGATAACTCAGAACACAAGACACGATTGTGTTCATAACTCAGATCATAAGATACAAAAGAAAGACTCAGAGAAGAAACTGAGACTCAGACAAGATGTTAGAACATCCTTGCAAAGAAACTATAAGAACCAACACACAAAAGGATATCAATTATGTGTTGTAAATACCAACACACAACCGAGATGAACACACATCCATTCTCCCTCTTTTTAGCCAAAACTTGGAAAAAAATATCCAACACAGTTCCAAACCCACATGGTACTTACCCAAACCCGGACATAAGCCATGAAGACACAATACAATAAAAGAAACACAACTGAGACTAACGAGGCACATACCCCCTTTAAATACCCAAGCATTTACTTAATGAATTGACGGTCCATAGAAGTTACCGAAGAACAATTCAATGAAGACATGAATTTGGGTAGGTAACTTCAACATAAATGACTATGCACCACCCAACTAGGATTTGACTGTTTCAACTTAAGGGTAAACCGTCCAAGGAATGCGCATGTTTCAACACACATGTTTAACACGCCTTCTCTAAGGCACACTCTCCATTGTCCAAGGGACACCGTCCAAATACACCTTCTTGGAAATAATCACAAGTCCTAAACAATGTCCTGGCATCTGGTCAGACTTTGTCTAGTCCTTTTCATGGCTTCAGAGGCATAGTCGCATATCCTTCAGATAATCCCAGCATGCTCTTGTTAACCAGAGGCTTACTAAGATGTTAAGACATCATGTCCAGCATATTCCAACAAGGACTCCCAAGAACCTTAACTTAATCTGCAGAGAAAAATAAATTCTTCCAGATAGCAACCAATCTTATTTCTCAGCTCTCTCCTAAGAATTAAGAACACAATTTATATAATTCGGTATCCTTAACAGCCTAACCTATCATGCAGAGCTAACAATTCTACCAAGATCAACACACCGTGATGTCAAGACATCTTGTCTAACATCACATCCTCACAAGAATCACATGAGCATCTTCTTGCTCACAAGTGAGAAAAATACCAGGACCACACTCCTTGTATCATAACCAAATAACTCTTAGAATGAGATCAACAATCACGATTGATCACTCTCCCCCTAAACACATTCATCCACTATACAAACTCCTCTTGAATTTTACAGCCATAGACACTCTTGTTCTTGAGAGTAAAACCAATCAAGCCTGAAATGTTCTTATTTCCTAAAGAGACAAGCACATTCTCTTAACCCCTTGGTTAATTAAGATGTTATCCACATATTAAAGTCATTAAACCCCTTCACCAAAATAAGAATAAAAAATCCTCAGCTTGCCTCCTTCTCAAGATTCAGTCTGATATAGTCTCTTCTAGAGACACTTCTAGCAGAACCAACCATCTACACATAGATAGTCAAACTTCACAAAGTCTTGATCATGCTTCACAATGAATAGATAATTCACTTCTAATCCAACTGGTCAGAACCAAAACTTTCCTTCTTGAAGAGATAGACAACTAAATTGATGTTTCAAACACGAATTAAAACATAATCTTCATCTACTTTAGTTCCGGAGTCAACATCCATAGGAATAACTCTCTACATGATAATCCATACACTTTCTTTTGCAATAACCATAAGAGGATCCTAACAGATCGCAACAGCAGCAACTCATAAATCATCATTGAAGGCATAATACCACAGAGAGAAATAAACTCTCTCAAGCCTCAGGAAACTTCATCACAGAAGCACAATGTTCAGACATCCTGTCTGACATTACAAAGTCAGCATCCATCCTTAAGCATCCAAAGATGAGATTCTCTTTGGAAGATACTAATATGGCCGACAATAAGCATAAGATATAGATTGAGCAACAAAAACAAACTTCTCTTTGAGGTCTGCTTCTCCTTTTCCCTTCAATCTTCAATCCTTCACTTTGCACAAAGCACTTCAAGCAAAGGTACATCATCACCATCAAACCACGAACTTAAGCAGATGGTTCCTTGGAGCACACTCAAGAGACACTTTCCTTCAGAGTAACCACACAGAATACCTTTCACAAGGTCCTTGGTCACGTGGGAACACCAACATGACTGGAACTTCCAGTACTAACACCTTCTTTCCCAGACAGAACTCTGGAACAACCATATCAAAATACCTTAGGTGAGACATCAGGAAGAAGATATGAACACACCAAACAATCAACACTTCCTTGAACTTTTTCCATTGCATGATTCACAAAGGTTGAGATAGACCATAGAACTAGCCAAATAGTTGGAGAGCAATTAGCACATACAAGATGATACAGCTCCAATGCACACCAATAACTTCAGCATCAACATCCAGATGTTCAGTCCAATGTCAGAACATTTTATTTACATCATTGACTTGACAGCCAACTGATGAAACCCCACATGTCTGAAACAGTCTTGAAGCTCAGACCCTTAGACTTCGAGATAGTTTTCACCTTGAATGGCCTTTTCATTATACACTATAAGAAAAAAGATGTTTTGCAACACATAAGTTGCGATGGTTCTATTAAAACCGCCCTCCCCTGAGTATTGCGACAGTTATGTCTAACTTCCTCTTGATTTTAAAAAACAATAAATAGAATTTACAATAGTTTTGTTTC